TTTACAAATACTTCCTGATACTCCTTACTCTGCTCTCAATCTTATCGGGAACACTCCTAAGGAATCTCACGAGACATTTTTTTCGCTGACGAAATATCATTGTGCAGGGTGTGCCAGAAAAAACGGACCCAGACCACACAGACGCTGGTATTCGAGGGTCGAAATCCATCAGGCTGTCCTTGAAGCTCAAAAATATATCCGCTCAACAAGTGGTGAGACTATCTAAAAAAGACGGGGATTCTAGACCCTGGTTGATGTAAACAACCTTCTCATCCTTATACGGTGGCTGCAACTCTTGAATCATTTCGTGCTAACAAATGCTGCTCGCCAACTAGAATCCATGTGCATCCGGATAGGCCACATGATTCCAGTACCAAGTACAAAAGTAAGTATGAGCTGACCGTTACACTTGAGGACTCTCAAGATCATAAAAAAATATAGAAAAAAAGGGGCTACCAGGGCTACCTATATCTTGTGTACTTAGGTTACCTGTCTATTCACATAAGGCTAATAAAGATATGCAGGACGAGGAAGCTCATGCTTTTCAAATTGAAAGCATAAACTGCTTATATACGAACGCCTCAAGTATATCGAATAAAATGAATGAGCTGTGTGAATCCAATGATGCTTATAATACTCATGTGATAGGAATATTTGAAACATGAATATCTCAATTTACGGACCAGGAGCTAGCTATGTCTTCGCTTCACAACGACAGAAATACAGGAATGGAGAATGCAGTAGCCTTGTACCTGCGATCTTGCTTGGAAGCGTAGAATTATGTTCTACTTCGTTATTAGTACGATTAGAATAATAGACCTAATCGTAGATTGTAGATATATCATGTTGTGCCTGCCTGATTTATAATATCTTACGTCGAAGTCACATCATTATATACACCGAATCATCGTATCATAACAATTAAACACATGATACTTATTAATTCGGAAGAACACATTTCGGCGGAAGATGGGATGATATATTTAATGTGAATAAAGACAAGTTATACAGAATGACCATGTTTAGGAGGCTGAGCCACGCCATACCATTTATTCAACTAATTCTACCGACCATCTCCATTGTTTGTCTTTTGTTCGTGTTAATTGTTGAATACACATTTCCCCAGTTGTCCGACGTTCAGCCCTCAGGATCGTGTGGTTAGGACCAATACCACTACAAAAGTACATCAAGTGGACAACCAAGCGTTTGTCAATCTTAATGAATTCGTATGGTGCTCAGTAAGGTTGTCTACCACCGCGAGGTATCTAGTTGGAGTTATCTACAGGAAGCCCATTGCTGACATCGAGTACAACAGTGGTATGCTAAAAGGATTGTCCAGCTCTACTCCAAACGGATTCACTCATATCCTGATTCTAGGAGACTTTAATATTTCTAAAGTCAATATCATGGAACATACGTACATTAAGGGTGAAAACTACTGAAACTTGGTTTTTCAACCTAATTGAAGATTTGGGATTGTTCGAAAATGTGAATTCGGCAACTCATTAGAGATACAGTCAGACGCCGTCTCACTCAAACTCGGTATTTACAAACGAACAATCCCTAACTGACAATCTCTCAATATTGAATCTCGTGGGTAAAATTGATCATGCCGTCACAGCCTCCAATCTAATCTGCAAAGCTGATCAATGACACCCTACCGTCAATGGACTGGAATTTCAAATGGTTGGAAGTGTCAGTTTGACATACCAATCTACAGCAGGTGGACAGGGAAGTTCACCCCCAACTTCATGTGAATGCTCATCGGAATTTTTAATTGCACACGATCTTAAGTGGTCTGTTCAGCCAACGGCCTCGAAAACCTATAAGCAAACTACAATCGACAAAAATCACACTCTTCGTTCGCTAAGCCGTAAAAGGCACAGCTAGGCGTAATACGAACGAACTGGTAATCGCGACGCATACAGGCAATTCAAACAAATAAAGAATATATGCAAAAAGGCAATAAAAGAAAACAGGCTTCAGATCTATTGATAAAGTAGTCTTCAATCCGAGAAGCTTGTTCCGTTATGTAGCCTCTCTTCGACAAGCCAAAACTGGAGTTTCCTAACTGCTAGGTCCTAACGGCACAACCAACAACGACGGTGACCCTGTTGACCTTCTGACAAAACAGTAGTCTTGAACATCTAAACCGACCCACAGTAACTATATTGATGGAAGCTTCGCCCGCAACTGCATAAGACTTTCCAAAGTGAACTTGAGCGCTGACTTGATGTACCGGAAACCGCAGCATTTAAACAAGGACGTTTTTCCTGACCTGGATATGGTCCATTACGCTATACTGTAGGAAGTAGCTTCAATCATGGCAACCCCGCTTAGAGTGATGTTCTCATATTCTCTAAGCCGAGGCATATTACTGGAAAATTTAAATCTGATTCACATCATACCAATTCTCAAAAGAGGTCGACTCAGCGAACCTTCGACCTACCGACCGGTAGCATTTCTCTCTGTACCATAGAAAATTATTGAGTTTCTGATATGCGAGGATCTACATGACTGCTTGCTATCCATAAACGTCTTCCTACCCCAATAGTACGATTTCAGAAAAGGTCACTTTTGTGTAGCCAACCTGCTGACTGCGGTGGACAGGTTGACAACCATCCTTGAACTCAAGGGCAAAATTGACGGCATTCACCTTGACTTCACAAAAGCTTTTTACAGGGTCAGCCGTATATGTCTTATCAATAAGCTCAAACGATTGGGTATTGAATCACCTCCAATTGACTGGCTTACTTCATATATAAAAAACAGACATTTTAAGGTCATGGTCAACTTCACTTTCTCTCAGTCTATGAAATGTCCTTACGAGGTGTCCCAGGGTCCGGCATCAGAATCTCTCCATGATTTTTATAAACGATGTTCTACAACAGGTATCCTCAGAAGTATTACTTTCTGCTGATGGTGTGAAAGTTTGGAGAGAGATACGCAACTCGGAGGATAAACTGCCCCTTCAGGAGGATCTGATTCGACTTCGAAGTTCGGCAGACAACAACGGACTTGCCATTAACACTTCAAAGTGTAAAGCAGTCCATCTGAGACATATTGCAGACTACAGTTACAACTTAGTAAACTCCTCTCTGAAAGTATCCGTAGTTGAAACAGACTTAGGAGTGCTGGTACCCCAGGATCTGAAGTCTTCCTCTAACTGTGACAAAAATGCCTTTCGAGCAAACCTTGTTGAAGCGCATTTTCAGCCAGTTCGATGGGAGAACTTTCCACCTAATCTTCAACGGTTCTATTCGTCCGCATTTAGAGTACGAAACATAGTACTTCCTCCCTCACTCCAAAAGGATAAGGACACACTGGAGCGTATCCTACGGTGAGCCACGAAATCAGTTCGAGGACTCAAATTCAAGCCTTATGAAGAGCGCCTCCAATCACTAAACCTTTATCCATTAGAGTATAGGCGTCTTAGAGGTGACATTCTGATGGATCACAGTATCCTTGACACTTCTGGACATCCCCTTAAACACCTACTTAAGCTTAGTTTCAACACTAACCTAAGTGGTAACACCCAAAACTGGAGACACAACATAGCAGAACGGACTGTAGACACAACTTCTACTCCTTAAGAGTTGTCAAATTCTGGAATTCGCTGCCGGCCGAGTTAGTCTAAGCGACTTCCCTGGCGTCCTTTAGGGGGCAACTTGATCTATTCCTAAGGACTAAGGATAGTATCACACTATGATTTACTAATTTCTTTTCATCTTTTATTGTTAACATACCTAGGTTCCTGCCTGGAGGATTTAGTGATCCCCTGCTACTAGATACGGAAGCCTTTTAAGCGAAAGCTTCTTCTATTCCGTCCACTACCATTTGAACCATTTTGAACCATTGGATTTAGTAGGTACCCGGTATATTCGACGCAAGGTCATAGTCTGCTGTTTTGGTGTATAACTAGTTCTTTTTTATTTTGAGTGTACCCAGATAATTCATGATGATTTTATTTCACTGTGATTCTTTCTGTGAATAGTTTGATAATGCGTCGAATAATATTCAATGGTATGCTGAATGAGAAAATTAAATTTTGATCGATATAGTATAGCTCAATGTATGCTTATGTCCTATTTCGTTTTTTATTCATGGGATGAAAATCTATAAGTTACAGACTTCTCATTATAGCTTTTAATTTCTATGGTTTTTGCAAGCTATTGTGAAACGACTTCAGATTTAGGAATTTCGATGGATATTGATACATAAGTATCCTAATTAGGATCGAAATTTCGATACTCAGCAGTCAGATATCTTGGTGATCATTTCATTAATAATATGTTATCATCGGCTCACAGTTCGTTGTGCTTCTGTCAACCCGATATGCCGTGGCAGTAAGGGAAATCCTTCATTCTTTTGACTAATATATGTTGATAAGCACTAATATCCACTACCGCCCTAAGTAAATTTATTGTTCTGAATCCAGTAAAATTTCGAAAATAACATAAAATATATTGCTGAAGGCAAAATTGACATATTCACTGTATTTCCTGGCCTCATTTTATAAACATCTGCCAAATGTTTTGCATTCAGCTTCACACCAAATACTTGTTTTATATTTCCTATAGTTACTGCTTTAGTGATTCCGGTTACATGGCGTAAGCTAAGTAACAGTTATTTCCTTTTTCCCTTTAGACCTGTCAATAGGTTTTCATGTTATCTTTCTCCAACGATTTCATTACACAACGTCTGTTGGTTTACTGAGAATTTGTTTTATTCATTCAATGTAATCTAGTGTTCTATTCACATACCAATGAATCTAGGTTCCTAAAAACGGATAACTGAAGTGTTTTTTCGTGACCATCAAAGTAGTCTTTTAATATGGTTTAATATCTACTCAGTTTCAGTTGGATTTCACTTTTTCAGATCGATTTTCTTGAACACTGGATTGATGCCATAATGGCGTGATTTATTTCAGTGTCATGTGAAATCTGCATGACCGTATTTTTCGAGGTTGCTGGTAACTTACCTAAATAAATGATGTCAAAATGATTAGTAAATCAAATATTTCCACGTAAGCGAACTTTCTTGTTTATTTGCTTAGTTCTAGCTCGTGCGGTCCATCACTCGAACAGCAGCGAAGGAGATTCGAAAGTACACAGTTAAGGTTACAAATGCTATCGCGAAAGACAGAGGAAATCCATATTGATGAATATATCAAAAAGCTTGCACTGGACAATTCTGTCGTCACAAGCAAAGATGGTATGCCCAGATCGATACGCTACATCTTTTTAGATAATAATTCATATGTTTCCAAGGTCAAAACAACTTTACCTGTAGCTTCTCACTCTTGCATTCCTACTCACAATACGGTTTGTAGATTCTATATATATGTATTTCCATGTTATTTTCAAGTAATTCTTTCTTCAGTTATAGTTACTAATCCATTATTCACTATGGTATTAAAGCACTGACATCGATTACTCACACACTATTTAAGATTGCTTTACCAGATTGGCAACGTCAGGTAAAGAAAAACAATGAAATGTAAATATGTTTCCAATGGTTGTAATGAGAGGTTATGAGGCAAAATATATAAGCCATTAGTGAAAGATATGCAATAATAATATAGTCTAGACCCTATCAACTAAAAAAGGTGCATATATTCGTGTTATTGAGATAGATTTTAAGGCATGTAACCTATTTTTCAACTATTTTTTAAATTTCATTTTGTGAACCCATCTCTTATCAAACCATATCCTTGTATAACGATTATTTCGATTTATTTGTTATTTATTTTGTTAACTTCATCTTTACCGTATGAGGCTTGGCGAATTAAGCTGATGCACGTCTGTGCATTGTTATTTTGACTTACTATGTAATCCCCCTAATGCCAAACCTTAACATCTTGATTTGCCTTCCAAATATTATTGAATGGCTGACATTATCCCTGTGTAATCAATTTTCAACTGATTTTTATTTTCAGTGATGATATAGTTATTTGTGTACAGTTTCCTGCTATATTTTCCATGCAATCTTACCAGTAGTGCGTTTAATGGCCAAAACTCCAGGCTTCCGATTAGTTGGTTACATGAATAAAATCCACTTCATCTAATTCTGTTTAGATACCCGCGTTTTATTAGTAGCCTTCATAAAAGCAATGTGGCTCATAGCCGATTACATGAACGTGTATTTGGTAAATGAACTAGTCACATGCGTTTGTTCAAGTTTCAACACAGCACATCGAGAACCCAGAGTGGTATAGGTAGTAACAGTATTGGGGGTAATAGAAAAGGCATAAAAGCTATGGTTTAAAAAGTGTAGATCCATGGATTAAAAAGTTATAAGGTAATATGGAAACTTGGTATGTAAGGGAACACAAAAAGTGAATCCATCTGATGCATTGTGGATTATTCTGAGCCAAGTCAACCAAAGTCTCTAACTGTTGGTTACAAAAATCACATGGACCCCAAATGAGTAGTTAGCACTTACGTAAACGAGTCAGTGCAATAGTTTATAACTTCATGAACTGATGCTACGTTTTGGTTTGGTTTCTCATATCTTCCTTACAAACTATTCCTGCACCAGCCACCATTCTGTTGAGGTAGGCGGTGGTTGGGCTTAGTTAATACATGTCCTGGCCACCTCAACCGATTTACTCAGCATACTTTCCTTGGTAACCTGCGTCTTACCATAACGTTATTCGCCCAGAGGTCCTGACATACACAAGCAGTACTTCGAAAATACATATGAATAAATACTAACATCCTGTGAATAACCTCTTTTTAAAGCCACATTTCACAGCCATGAAGTAACAGCGAGCTGCTGCACACTGTACTCGTCCTTTGGCCGGCAAACGGTCATCTCCCCTACACCACAAGTAACTCAATCTTATTCATCGTATTATCAATCATCATCACGAACCGCTACACACGTATTAGGTTGATCCTAATCCATTTTATCTTTCGTGTGCGCTTTTTTTATAAAAAAAACTAGCCTAATCGTGGTGGTAAGTTCTCAGATCAAATCTCTGGTGTATTTTCAACTGAACAAATGTGTGAGAACCCATCGCATTTACTTGATTTTCCGGAGGTCGGATATCTGAATACTGCAAACTCGTTTTCTCCAGACACTTCTTTAGCTAAACCCTCATGGTTAGTGAATCTCTCTTCCCTACCACCAATTTATGGCGATGCCATTCGTGCCGCTACAACAAGGTATGTTAAGAATTATCTTTATATAGTCTACACTTAGTAAATATATTAGTCAACAGTTTTCTTTACGTCTTTATACCATTACTTCTACTAAACTGGTGTTCATATTAATAATTTCAACTTGCTGTGCTGATATGGTGTGGTCACTTGAACCAAAAAATATGTCCTATGTCTTGAGTCGCCTAGTAATTAGACCGGATAAAGGAAATCTCTGAGTTTACACCACAAGCATTAATTCAAAATTTCAGCCACGATGATCCATCGTAACATTATACTGATATAGATCAAAATATTTCTAGGGATAAAAGCTTTCGTGTAAACCTCTGTCACTATCAATTTGAATTAGTAAGTTAGTGGAAGTTGTTGATTAGTAGGTATAAATATTATTTTGACAGAACATATGTTCACTTTTCAATTTTTATTTCTTTCATGTTTTCTCTGTTGGTATAAATTCAAGTTAGGCATATAAATAAATGGAAGTGGTCGAATGCGTCTACAACTTCACTTATCTCGAAAGTCTGATCACCCCTAATGGGTTAGCGTTTGACGAAATCTCTGCAAGGATTCAGAAAGCTCGTTTGGCTTTTGCCAACTTACGTCATCTATGGCGAAGGCGAGATACCTGTCTGTCAATTAAGGGGCGAGTATACTGCACAGCAGTTCGTCTTTTCGTTGACTGAGATGGTTGGGCCACGTTGTTACGTATGCCTGGACACCGATTACCACGACGCGTAATGCTGACTAGTGTTGAAGACGGATGGAAGAAAATTAGGAGCGACCAAACCAAAACGTGGCATCAGTGCTTGAAGTTACTAACTTCTGGTCTGAGCCATGTTGGTAGATACAGGCCACTTGGTTGGAGTCCACGTGACTATTGTAACCAGTGGTTGGAGATTCTGTGTGACATGGCTTAGAATCGATCAGAATGGCGTAATTGTATACACTCTTTTGTCTTCCCTTAAACTGTGAGGTTTAAATCACTTTATACCTTTGTTTCTGCGGACGAATTCTCTTTCCCCGTATCATTTCCTTATATGCAATCCTTTTTATGTATTACTACTATTGAAGTAATTACTTCTATGAATTTGGTGTTCATCTTGTTGTGCTGATGAGATGTGGCAACATGGACCAATGCATATGTTTACCTGGCCCTACGTTGTAGCCGACTGATTGACTGAAGTGTGATTTTCTGGTAAGATTTCAGTATGCTGTTTGTAGATAATGAAATATTATAAAGTGCCTGAAGGAATAAAACCGTGAGCATGAATCATTGTTTTTTATGAAATCCTTTATTGAATTATAGATATACAATAACTTGATTATACTGGTATATCATTCATTCATATCCCTTTGAAATGAAGCAAGTGTTGCTCTTTTAAGCAACTACATGTACCGAAATGATGGAGAAAATCTGCAGGTCAAGTAGATGCTCTTGGTGGTGTTGATTTTTCAGAGCCAGGTGGTTTCAATATCCTAGCTTTCATTGTCATTTTGGACACTTTTCGGGCCTAATACATGTAAAGTAAGCTCTTTAGCTACTTGACAGTGCATAAAAACCACCATTGAAATGAATTCTACTGGAAAAACGCCAAATATTCGGATTAGGGAATCTCTAAGAATACCAAGGAGTTTCTAAAATCGTGAAACTCAAATCAATTAGCAATCACTAGGTACATCGACATTGACCAAGTTAATGAACCTATACGAAAGAGATCGATTGCTTACAAGGCCAGAGGTCAATCGACAAAGACAGTCAACTTGGATCTGAAGGCAAATGAAAACGACATAACCTACGAAGACAGCTAATCACAAATAAGGCTATTGGAATAAGTCAATAGAACACTTGTGAAATAACTAAAAAGCTCACTTCTACATGAATTGAGCGATGAAGATGTCGTCAAGAATGGAAATGAAAGCTTTACATTTAGACCACCTATCTTGGAGATCCCAACACTACCTAAAGCTCCATATATTATTCGTTATTTCTCTGCGTCTTGTTTAGATACAAAAAATTGCATCACAAAGAAGACCATCATTCTATTTTCGCTTGATATAAATTCATCAATAATATAAGAGCGTTTTTAGCTAAAAGTGACGAATGTATTAGTCAGTCATTTGATCATTTTGAACGTTAAACCTGGGACATGTGCATCGGTCCAAGTTGTCACAACACATTAGAACAGCGAGATGAGATTATAAAGTCAAGTCCGAGAGTATTAGAAATAGTAATGGTAGTGGTAGGGAAGATTAGATTTAGGAAGCAGAAAAAGATGTATAAGATTTCGGGACCCAAGATTAAACGACAGAAGAAAAAAATAAATGCATACACTGCATTGCGAACTGTTCCGAAATGTGTTACCCAAGATCTCTATCTACTGGGTACGATAACTGTAGTGGACAAACCAGGTTGTCTGCACCCACCTAAACAGGTCAGTCCAATATTTAATGTTTCGTGAACTGATGCCAAGTTCTGGTTTATCCACCTTTTTCTTTCTTCCAGACTACTCTTACATTCAGCTAGTCAGTCATCAGTATGAGTTGTGGTATGTTTATGTATCACACCCAAGTAGCAAATGGTACATGTTCACAGCTAGAGGAAATCAACGAGGTGGAAAACGTAAGATAAGGAAATAAAAATCCGAACATGAAAATTGTACCTTCAAAAGAAAAGGTCGGGTAATGAACAGTTATGAATAATACTTAAACAAAGATGTAGAGTGAATAAAAATTCTCCCGTGTGACCGATTTGATCTATATCATCCGATTCCAACTGTTGATTACAATTATTATGTGGGCCTCATCCTGTTAGCTCACACAGATTAACATGACTGAGACTCTCAGTCACTAACTTCATAGATTGATGGTATGTTCAATTCTCTCCCTTCATGTCTGGAACTACCCTAGTTTTCCTGGATTTGCTTTCGGGTATTCCTGACTGTTAGTATTTTGGGTGGCATACTGATCAAACGGATTTTTCTGCGATTATCGTAAGAGGCTTTCTGTAATCTCTTCTACCCTGGGCAACTAGTGATCACAGAGAAATCACACCTGACTCTCAAATTCCAGCTTATATTTCAATCAGTCTAACTGCTAAAACTGAGCCACTGGTATGAAAGACCTGCAAAAAACCATCAGGATCGTTTTTTTTATTTGCTTCAAGTTAGTTGTGGCCTTTTGACCTCACTGAATTCTGGAGATCCTATATCAGCCTCTAGTTCAGTTTGTTGGTGAATGATAAGTAGCTGGAGTTCACCTGACGTATTCCTCAAAATTTTCTGATCAGCGTTACAGGCGTTTGGTTTTCAGGGTCCTATGTTTTTCAGAAATATCTTCTCTAGTAACCAACTTATTAATCCATCTCTGTAATCAGTTTAAAATTACCTGGTGTTACCCATTAAGACCACTTTTTTATTGTTCTTTGCTTTCGTTGCACACCTCTGTCCTCAATCATTGCGCTAACGTCTTGTTATTCTCTGTTCAAGTGTCCTTCGCTCCTCGCCATGTTCAGAACATGCTGAGAATAGTTTCCGAGAATCCGCTAAGTTAGTGGGGGCTTTCGAGATTTCTTAATATTCTGGTCCATGTTGTTAACAAGTGTCACTGATGTTTTCACAGCAGTCTAAAAATATTTCCAGGTCATTTTAGGTTGTAGGCTATATGCTTAGCTACTCCTACCTTAGATACGTGCGTTTTATTTCTTCGAAATGGGCTCAAAGTGGTCTCACTGCGTTTTTTCTTTGGTCAAGTATGATGCTGATAGACACTTGTGCGTACAGGAGTAAGTCCGAATTCCAAGGATATGATTCGGGAGGAGCAATAATCTGTCCAATGTCCCCAGTGGTAGTTGATAGTAATATCGTCTGTCTAGAAACGTTTGTGATGTCAGTGGTCTTCAGGTTAAGGGTTGTCTCTATTCCTAATTTTGATCCTTTCTAAGGACAGTTTCCTGAGCCTAATTGAACCTGGTCTAAAGCTTTCTCGTCAAAAAAACATAAAACAATGATGATGGTTAATCCCATTCTTTCAAGTCCGTGCAACTTCACTTAATCCAACAGTGTATAAGCGGCTGTCAAAAAAATGAAGTCAGAGAATTTCTGTTTTGCTTGAGAACTTAATCTTTAACATATACCAACGATGTTACGAGGTTACAACGAGACTCTAAATATACTAAGAATAAATCCCTCTGACTCTTCATATTGGATAAGTCAAGTTAGCTAAACGACAAAATTTAGATTTTCTTTATCATTTCCAGGATTACGAGATTCTAGAGTTATAAATAATAAAGCCTTTTGTCCGCCTTTATATCGAAAGCTTCATTATCTATTATTTGTAAAGTATCGCACACAACTCTCAAGACTGTAAACGTCTTACTACTATTAAAGATCACACAAACTGCGACTCATGTGTTCGATTAAACACGTATCACAATCTCGAACAAACACTAAAAAGTATTTACATAACTAACTGCTTAAAAGATGTATCCAAACTAACGTTTTTATTTATACTAAAATTTTCTGTGTTTTCGTCCTAAAAATTTGTTTACCTTCTCTTTGTTGTAGTTATAATTTATTGTCAGGGGTTTCTTATGGGAACTTGTCCTGACATGCATATATATGATTGTCATTTTGATCTCATCCATTTTTCTACCAGCACTGCCGTGTTAATTAGAATGTTGTCTTCTTTAATAAGTTGTTCTAACTTGTTCGTTCGTGGATATGTATGAGATTCATAAAGTCTGAAAGCATGTGGTATAAACTGAAATATTTGTATCCATTCTTATCATCACAAAATAGCCAAATTACACAAATAAACACAAGAACGTGGAATCTTATGAGACTATTGGCTTTGTAAACAAAGGGTTTAAAAAAATAACCTAACATTATTTCAATTATCAGTATGGGATTGTGGAGATTGTTAGGCTTTTGATTAAGATCATGAGTCGATCGATGTTAGACCACCCTTTAATTGTTTTAAATTTTTGCCAAAAAGTTTGGGTTGGTACCTTTTTCTTAAGTTAAGTTTAGCTGTAACCAAAGTGCTTAGATTTGCTATTAAACTACTTATTTAAATATATTTTGTAGTTGGCGTTTTTAGTAACTAAAAGTTTTCATTTGTATACTGTCCCACAATTTCTAAGATTTGAAGGCTTCATATAATGGACGCCGTTAGTTTCCTATTCATAGCTTATCTCCAGTACTAAAGAGTTGCATATGTGGCACCATTATCTAAGGAAATTTTCGGCTCCATATGATTGTTAGTAAACACAAGATGGAATATTGAGTGATAAAGTTGAAGTTCGATAATTATTGGATTTTAAGCCATCAGATTTGGCAAAGAATTAATTGTTTCCACAGTAGAACTCATCAAAGTAATTTGTGCAGCACCTTACCTGATAGTCACCATGAGATTCAAATGTCATAAGTTTTTGGGCGAATTGACGAATTTCTTGAAAAGGTTTACACTGGTTATTTATACCAAACGTAGGTACTACCTTTACGTGGTGGTCGAATTCGCTTATTTTGACGACTCAGTCGAGCTATGTTAACTGGGATACGTTCCTTGATATTTTCGAGCGAAGTCATGTTGGTTACCATACTGTAGTGCGATGGTAGCAAGGTGTTTTCTAAAGATATCCAGCAGCCCTAGTACTGCTGGCTTTTCATAACGGAAGGGGAGTTAGGATAGGTTAGGCTTAAAAGTTCGTTATATCTATCCCAAAGCATTCCTGGTGCTGGCCATTGGGTTTTAAAATTATAGAGCTAGTAGACTCACAAATAGGTCCTTTCACAATTTTTCTCACTGTCTTTACTTAAAAGTTGCTAGCACTGACTTTGGACAAGTTGTTCTGGGATTCTAAAGCCCATGTGAAATCTCTCCTACCATATTGTGTTTTTTATCCGACCACCCTGAGGCTTCTTGCCTGTATCAACTTTTTCGTAGATTTTCACTTTTACATTAATAAACCTGAATATGATCGAGGACTTTTGATGATTCAGTGGGGACCAAGAAATGTATGACACGAAACGAAATGCCAACGTTGTAAAAAGTAATAAAAATAAAACTTTTTTATAACGAGATCCCTAAATGCCCTGGTACGACCGAGAGAGGGGAGAGTTCTCTCTCATCGAAATGCCCTCACATGGCCACGTGCATGCAACCACTGCCAGGGAAGTCTTACTGCCTTCTCGTGGCGGGGGTGTTGTTTACGAAATCGAAAGGATGAAAGGCGAATGTCCGGCGCTTTAACCGGGTTGGTGGACACGGAGAGTCCACCTAGGGGAGTTGGAAAACCCTGATTTCAAACCAATAGTGCACATGGGCTCCAGTATCCTGAAGGAATAAATGGCGTATGAACCAAGTGTTGGTCACCGGCTACCATGGGACTGCATCTCCTTACGTTGCGCCACTGCCTTGTGGATCAGACCTTCAGGTCGAAGGCTCTGGGTGGCCTCCTAAGAAAACCACCTGGTCCGGTTTGGGCACCCGGGCAATATCACAGCCCTCACACATATTAAATGAGATTTATGTGGCGCATATGTATCTGGTGCCCCGTTGTACCAATATCTATGTGTTCAAATAAAATAAAAATTCGAATTTGTAGTAAACAAGCTATCGTCAATAATTTCAGTTGTCTCTCACAAGAGTTACTGTTCTCGGTTTGTACATCAAATAATTTCTTCTGAATTGCATTCCACTACGATTACGATTTAGTTATTCTTTCTGTAAAATGGATTCGTTGTATTTCAGCCACATTCAGTTAAATGTTATTTGTGAGTGAATTGCTTCCATTTAGTACTGAGGTATGGCTCAAGCCAGATTAGTTAGCTTCCCACTCCACAGAGTGCCATAAATATTTCCCAGTTTCTGTTTATTTCTGTAACTAGCATTTTGGGTTGATCTATTAAACGTTTCGCCATTTAAATATTTTGTTATCTTTCTTAGTTATGGTCTCGACAGTTCAATAATTTACGAGATATTCCGCTCGTCCAATTTGAGCACAGAAGCATTGTATCATATTTGGTCACTTACAAGCTGCACCCAACCTGGTTGGTTTACACCGACTGAGTTAGTGACTGCCTTAGCTTTAATCGGCCTGGCACAACGTAAGCAATGGGAATTCCAATCATGTTCTCTTTCCGAAACTATTACTATCCAATCACTTTACGGACAAATATGTCCACCTGTCCCTATGATACAAATTCCTAACTCCAGTAGGCCGTCTAATTCTACAGTTATGATTTCTGGGCCGGAGTTAGTTACTCATGGAAATCCCCCAACTAGTTTTCGAGATCCAGTAATCTCAGGATGTTCAAAGTTTCCCTTCCAACCTCCCGTCGTAGCCTTTTCTGCATTTTCCAATCGATTGGATAACGATTCTTGTCACCAGTCTATTCAGTCATCTACAGATTCTGTTTACAAGACACCAGATCCCTTCATGCATTTCGTTTCATCAGGAACCCTATCTATAAATGACCCTGAGTGGTCTGATTTTGCTTCTTTTAATACTTCCGTAAGTTATTTTTTTATTTTTGTCATATCAACTGTCAATAAAATAAGACTAGTAATACTATCTAATTTCCAATTGTTGGAAAAAGCTCAATTTGGTGCCTTGTCATGATGGTCATGGTTTCATTATTTTCAGTTACATTTTAGACTGTTTAGATCTAATCTGTGTTTATTTAATTACTTGAAGTAAACAATTTGTTGGGCACTGAACCTCTTGATGACTGCGTATTTAGTCTTAAGGATAGGTAGTGTTTAGGGTTTGAATTCAATTTTGAAACAATAAGACTTTCAGAAACAGAGACTCAGCGCTTAATTCATGATTAGTCATATGATCATGCTTTTAAGAAAATTTATGATTGCTTGGTCTGTTTCGGTAGTATGGTATACGTTCAACACTGAGCATTGTTTCCCTGTGTTAAGTTGGCATTTACCAATATATAGCAAATTACTGTACTTTTTCTACCGTTTACTCTTATACTGTTGGCTTTGATGCCCATGTTCACCCATCTATTTCCGGAGATATTTGTAAATGAATAGTCTTATTACAACCAGTTGTGGGAGTTTTTATTAACTACGTTCGTTTTTCGTGTAGCGGATTATGATCTACGTATATGGGTGTTCTAAATATGGTAGAAAGAGCAGGTTTTAAATCGATAAAGACCCATGACTTGTCAAAAACTCCACTGTTTTACTAAACTTGGCATTCGACCTTACTACTTCTAATCCTGTAACTTTGTTATTCATGTAAACTTTTTGAAAAGTATCGGTCATCATATATTTTTGATCTGCTTGGTGATTCTTTGTTTTCAGGTTAAGCAATCAAAGCATAATAGTAATAATATCCCGAAAGTCTCTACAGAAGTTGGTATTAATGGCCAGAAAAAGTCAGTCACGAGGCAAGTAATATGCTTAGATTTTAACCACTTCTGCTCTATTTGTTAATATCTGGTTTTACTTTTGATATCTGTCTATACTTATAATCACGTATTCTTTATGTTACCGACTTTTAATAAGTCCTTTAGTAGGTATCATGTCGTATTTAATATATCGATTGCAAATTTGTTGCCTATCGAAAACTATCCAAATTCATCAAACCACTCTTCGACATTCCTAATTCAGTTTGATAACTTGAAACTATCCGAGTAAAACCGGACTAACTTTTATGACCATGGTGTTATTGGCTAAACTACCGTATTTTCATGTTTTGTTACTTCGTTTCAACATCAGTAATTTCAAACGTAATTTTCACTAATAATATAAGTGGTTTTTCTTTAAATACTTATATATTCACGGTGTGATAATCGACTACTCCTTTATGATCTGGATGCAAGTGAAAATATTATTGTCTCCGCAGTTATCTAACTAATATTAACCCGACTGTACTTAAACATGTTTCATCTTATCTTAGTGCCTAATGGCCGAAAGACAGGACAGGATCTACTATGGTCTGTAGTCGTTGATGTATAAATATTAGGGTAATTTGTCAACAGCATATGTGATGTACATAGCCAAATACCAACTGATCTTTTCGTGTCTGTGAGATTACTTTTTCAAGTCTGATCCAGTTCATGTTGATAAACCAGAATTTTAAGAAAATTTCCTTGAATTAATTCTATTGTAGTTACTAGTTTTTATATGATACCTGTTTGTTTGTTATTTCTAGCCTAATCTTGAAGATACTTTTTCCCCTTCATTATTTGATTGTTAATGATGCTTAAAAATTTATATCTTCAAATTGGTTTTATTCCTAATTACTTCTTTTTTTAGCTCTCACAACTCCCTATTTGATGAAGAGTTTGGAAATTTTCAAACTAGTTATTCCGTTAATGTATCAAAACCGACTGAAATTCTTGATAAGCTTCCTCATTCGAATTCACTAACTACAGCGAATAATAATAATCTTTTAAAATTACCAATACAGAAAAGTGCTTATAATGATGTACAGGTTAGGAATATTATATAAAAACGCTTATCTTTTTATATTTAAATAAACGAACAATTTCTCACTTTGTCTGCATAATCTTCACTGAATAATAATAAAACAAAAACTACTCAAAGTGTTTGACAAAATATAGGTTTTACCTTCACACATCCATGCAGAATACCAAGCTTTATCGAATTCATCAGTTTTTAATGTTATGTTACATGGAGGTGACTAAAAAGAATAGTAAAATACTTAATAATTGTAAAGTGTACTATGATGTGCACTTCAAGATTTAAGTCTGTTCAATATAAAAATAATCAATCATTTAAACCATTTCAATGACATTCATTGAAACTTTCTGTTCACAAAAAATATTGATGATTGGGTGCATATAAGATTATATTTCTACTAAAAAACAACTGTGCTTCGTTTTTTACCCATTTATTAAATTTGTAATGAATTCTCTTGATTTCAGAATAAAATGAATTCTTCAGAATCTTTATATGAACAATGGCTTCATTGTTTGACTGATTGCTTGAAAGTATTCAATGATTCATTGTTAGTTTTATCTTCTCTTAAAAGTATGGAAGATCAATTTGAATTTGCAGAAAGTGAAGAAGGATGTAATTTCTTATTGGGTATGTCTTCATTAAATATGTTTTAAGATGAAATAATTCATCCTTTAACAATATTTATTTCAATTCTAATGTTTTAATCCAACTTGTCTTCAGGATTGATTTGCTTCTTATCATTGAAAACGAAGTGAGAATATTTTGAACAACATGCAGATCTTAGTAAATTTTTAAGATAATTTATGGATACAAATCAATGATAACTACCACTGGAAAATTACTCTTGCTTCGACTCTCATTCACACAAATCATATTCACAATCATATGATAACATTCGTTTTAATTTTTTTTATTATACCACGTTATTTATTCTCATTTTGCGTAGTTTATTTTTCAATATATACAGCAACTCGCCTCTGGTGGAAAACCTGTTCTATCTAAACGATCTGAAGTCACTGACTGGTCGAAAGTTGAATGCTACCATCAACTACGAATACTGAAACAGTCTTTCTGAAACCACGTATAACATTCAAACTAACCTCCTTCAATGTTCGCACACTAATACAGAACGGACAACAGATAGGAGTGGCTATGTCTTTAGAATGTCTCAACATCGATGTTTGTTGTCTTTCCGAGACCCATGTTCAAGAATAGTCAAGTACTACAAATTCGCTCTTCATATGTCGCTTCAGAAAGCTTGTTTCGCGTCCGTTTATCCGGAGACCCTGTGGCATCTTCGTCTGACTTTGCTGGCGTTGGTGTCGTAGTAAGCTCTAGAGTTGAGGAGCAGGTTGGTGTTCGTTCCGGACGAGGATGTATTGATCATGTCTTCATCCTCCGCCAAATGTTAGAACACAGTCAGATTTATTACACAGGCTAACAATCGTAATTTTTCTTGACATAATAGTCGCCTTCGATTTGTTGGACAGGATTGTTATCTGTGATTGTCTATTGGAGAAAGGTGTGTCTGAGAGGTTTTTTAACATCTTGAAAGCTCCATATACTAACACCTCAGATAGAGTAAGGGCATACAACCATATCTATTAATCCATTAAAGGAGTGGGATCAGTCAGGGCTGCCTAATCGCACCATTCTTCTTCAACTCTGACATCGACGACGTTCTGGAAACCGCTTTTATATGTGTAGGTAATGGTGGTGTAGATCCGTTACCTGGAGAAAGACTTTTCGATCCTGAGTATGCGGATGATATTGTCTTACTGTGCGATGATACCCAAGCCATGCAATCCACACTTAATCGGTTGGTAGTCAGTGTCCGTAGGCATGGCACGTGCCTTACAACTTCCAAGTGTAAAGTACTTCCATATGACTGGTAGAACCTGAACACCCACCCACCCTGGGTAGTGAGCAAATAGTGGTTAAGATGTTCGTGTATCTGGGTAGCTGAGTAAGTGCTGGTGGTGGCGTGAGAGACTAGATCAGTTCACCTATAGTGTAGGCCGGAGCGGCTTATACCAATCTGGACCATCTTTGGCGCTTTCGTGATGTTAATCCTGCTGCAAAAGGTCGGATCTACAACATGTTGAGAGTAGTTTTCCTCCGTTCCTGTGAAAATTGGCTTCGCCGAGTTGATTATGTTCGACGACACTGTGTTTGGTCACCGTTGTCTCCCAAGGATTGTTGACATCCGGTGATAACATCATGTTAGTAATGAACAGGATCGGCACCGTGTGTTCGCGCACAGCGATGATAATTCAGTTGATATCACTATCTTGAAACATCGTGCATTATTTGCCGACGTTGGGACCGGTTAGAAAAGGTGGAGAAGTGGTCAGTGCATGACATGGTGTCGTGGTGTGGAAGAAAGCTGTACAGGTCAGGCTTCTGGTCCTACACGACTTCTTGGTTGGGGTCCTAGAGATGGTGTAATATTGTGTCTAGAGACGTTATCAGACATGGCCCAGAATAGAAGCCAGTGGCGATAAATAAATAAATTTTGAATTCGACAAAAGTTAGCATCCAAAGCTCCACATCGGATTGCTTCCAGGACCTTCATTATTACGGGACTACAAATTTGATGTCAACTTTTAAAAATGTGACTGCAGATACAACGTGGAAATTTAAAATTTATCTTTTTTCAACAGTATACCCAGTTTGTACTACCTCTCGGTAGGATACTGGAATAGCACGCTATACAAAAACTAGGTCACGTTATATGAGATGCTAAGTTCAGGACCAGAAACAGAAAACCAGAGTACAATACTTTATTACACAATTATAACCGGTCACTCTCAGTGAGTCAGTAGAAATTGATGAGGAAAGGAAATCACATTTTAATCAGTATGCTGAATGTCTGTTTCCCCGCGCTCAGTGGCCGATCACATTTACTTTATTATTATTATTATTATTATTATTATTATAATCATCAGCTTTATTCAATATTATATTTTTGGTACAATATAGAATTCTCAGCGTAAAGTACTTCAACAAGTTTCTGTTTCTTCCTTCTCGGTCGGTCCTGGCGATAAATATCGAGTGGTCGCCAGTTAGATGTTAGCAGTCCAGTAAATGAACATCCGAATAATGTGCATTCTTTTCGTATATTGCCAGCAACCACATTGTCTCTTATTGAGTTTTTCGTAACTTTGACAATGAAAGGTTGTATACTTTTCAGAAACGCAGCAGAATAGGTTATGCGATTAATAAACATAGTGATATATTAAAACAAACAAAAATAGATAACCTGTTGAAATATCTAGATGGCAGGAACAGGTAGCCCAGATGCTCAAGCAGATCGCCCTTACACTTCCACACATCAGCTTTGCATAAACATGTCAAAGTAATTAGAAATTGAGATCATTTAAGAGGTGAATTTGGTATATTTATTAAAAGAAAGACAACTGGTTTTACCCCTTGATTTATAAATTTAATAAAATGACAATTAACTGCATCCTGATTTACTTAAAAGTTCTCATTCAGTGTCTATTGGGATCGTGTATGTGGTCTGTTGAGGAGTCTCACATTGAGACGAAATAGTTGTTCAATTTAAGGTTTTCAGCGGTTCCATAACTATGACCATTCACTGATGTAAAAGTGCAAAATTACTCGAATTTGCAAAACTCCCTAAATTCGAATATATCATTTTTAATAAAAACATTTTCACCCAGTTCTTATTTATTATGAAGTTGCTAAATTAAATATCGCTTATGTTGTAATGTATGCTAACAGATATAATTAGTATATGTCACCAATAGGAAGTGGGATGTCTGCGAGCAGAATATTGGGAAGACCGACATGAGGAGAAGAGAGAAAACTGAAAGCAAGCAAAACAAAAAAAGGAATGAGGTTTCTAAGGAACAATTCAAAGATGTGCAAATGATGTATTTAATGTGTGATTTCGCATTGGACAATAAATTCTTCGCCACCTGAGTTTTCCGTTTACCACAGTAATACTTGTAATAAAATAGAGTTTGAATTTACATTTTACCCGGAAAATGTAAAACTTGTAACTCAAGTAACTTGGTTATCTGAGTATACACGAACAATGACATCTTAGTAACTGAATGCTAAATAGTTTAATTGTTTTATTTGTATGGAAAAGCCATCAATTTGATGTAATAAAAAAAGGATATTCCAAAATCAAACCTATATGAGAGTTAAACAGTCTGGATTTATCCGCTATGTTTTCATTGTTCACTAAGCGTACCGTACCTAATACTTTGGGTCATTTTTTCTGTTTATTTGGAAGTCTAACATTTCCTGTATTTGTATTTTTCGTCCGGCGTTTAGAGATGCACTACACCGAAGATATTAGTAGAAGACATTTACAGACTAATTCGGCCACTGAAAATAAATTCTTTGATGAAGATTTCAATTACATAGAGCATACTTTTTAAACACACGAAATAATGACCGAAAGTTCTTATTACTACAGTGTTAGTGAACACAGAACATTATCGATGACTACAAACGTTGTATAAATTTTCGTCATATCATATTAGTTATGTCATGCGAGTCATCTGAGATTTCTTTGAATTGGCATATTCAGATTTCAAATTAAAGTAACTTTTTGAAACCATTTTGCTTTAGTTAACCAAAAAGCATATATGTTATTTCGTTTTATTACAGATGCCACTGAAATTTATTTGATGACGAGACGAATTAGCATTTCAGCCAAGAATTACAGTAAGTAGTTATGCTTCTCAAAAAATCCACTTTCTTATTTCATTAGCATTATCGGTTTAAGTTTTCGATTCTTGTTACCACGTTTCAATCGTTAGGTTAAATGAATCCTAATCGTTTGATTTTATGAAGAAAAGTAATGTCGCTGAATAATAACTTTACAAAGCTAGATTTTACAGCTTATCTCACAGATTGATCGTAATTAAACAACTATTAAAACATTCATCATATATATATGGTTCTTATTGTTCCGATACCTATCTTTTAATTTACATTTAGATGTAATTGATTCATCTATGCATCAACTGTTTTCGGATATTGAAAATTCATTTCGTAAATTATCATCGTATGCTGTTGTAACTGATCTAAAGGTATTTTTAAAATATTTGTTATTTTTTATTATTTGCATGTTGATCTGAAACAAACTTCTCTATTATAGTGTATAACTCGACTAAATGACTGGAATCATCCTAGGGCGAGTCCATCAATGGGTTGCAAACATATATTGGTTTGCGTTCTGCTTGAATTTACGTTGTGTGTGAGGGAGTGCGTGGGAAAATCTGAAACAGAAAGGAACTGACGACTCAGCATACAGAATGCACTTACATTCAGTGATGGAAGTAATCGACAGAAATGAGCAATAACACAAATGTTAGATCAAGATTGAAGCTGGGAGTTAGTAGAATAAGATTTCGAATGAGTTGTAATAATACTTTTTAAAGTAACTTTTCATCTCGGATCTCACTGTAGAATCATATTTTTCATAGATTATGACTAAATAATTCTTTGTTGGTAATACTTCTGTTAGTGTAAATAAACATTTTTTATAACCACTTTTAAAGATCGACCATATACCTGGGTCGAAAATATGAGCTCTTAATGTTTGTAAAAGATCATTTTCGCTTGAAAAAATTTTACTAACCACTGTTATTTCTGACATAAATTTAAAAAACATAAATAACGAATGAATTTACTCTTTCTGTTGAGTTTGCATAAAGTTATAACGAACTCTATAGTAGATATTCCGTATATAATATCGATTTTCCCTATAATCTGTCTACTAATATGCAGTTACAATACTTCCTATTGATATCCTTTATCTATCTAATGATAGAAATCTCAATTCGGCATTTTTGGTGAACCTTATCCATTACAGGACTCAATGTGCTTGGTTACCTGTTTTTCTTTAAACAGGGACAACAAAATAATAATTTGAATAGTGTAATGAGAAGACGTCTTCTTATTACTCTATCAACACTTATCAAAGGAACTAGTTGCTTTAAAACAATAATTGTTATTTCTAATGATCTGTGAGAGTTTCTAAAGTATAGTTACAGGCCCTGAGTATTTGTCGAAAATTTCGGGATGTCTTCTAGGGTTAGCCAATAAAAATATGAGTTTTAAAGCACTGAATTCAAATTAGTGTCTATAGCTTAATGAATAAATATGTAAATTTTGAAATCTTCCTTGACTGATACCGGTCATATTTGGGGAAAAAATCCATTTCCCAGTAGTCATTTTTTGTATTTTTTAACCTTACTATTTATTGAAAAGTTATTTAAACTTCATTTTTACTTGTAATGAACTTCCTTGGATTTCAGAATAAAATTGTTCAGGCTTTTAATTTTGTTTCAACATCAGAAAATGAATTCGTTATTCAAGACTTCATTAATTCAAACACGTCCTCATATTGCGGAGTTTGTCTTTCATCGATCAGCTTGACCAATGACCTGTGTGTTAATAATCATTGCAATGAATCATCCAGTTTTTCTCAACACCAACAAACTAACTATCATTTAGTTTATATTAATCTAGCTGGTCGTTGCTATCATATATCATGTGCTAATTTCTGGATGAATCGTATCAATCCATGTTTACCCGCTCTTAAAATCCCATTGTAATCATTGTGATGTAACATCGAATTCGTTTCGTTTCCTCTTATAATCAAATATTTTGTGATTATATATATTTTGTATATTTATGAAGCATTTCATGTATTTCATCTCATTTTTGTCCACTAATTTTGGTTTGTATCATTATAAGCTCCATATTTTCTTCCGTCTGTATTCATGTATGATCCCAATTTGTTGCTGTTATGATTTTTTTACTTATTAATCTATCTGTGTATTAAATCTATTTACTGTGATGCAATAAAATGCTATTTTATTTTTAACCGACAAAGAGATTTTTCAATGCTTTATGACTGATTTAACAATGCTTGATGATAATGTTTTGTTCTTTACGTATGATTGGCTGTGTTTTAAAAGCATCACGACTTAAGTCACATGAGTGTTTGGTTCTAAATTTAACACTATTGTTATAAAATCAAGGGTTATATATATATATATAACTGAACAGTTTTTATGACTAAATCTGTCAAATTAGCGTTATTCTAATCTACTAATACTCGAATGATTACGGTTACAGCTAACCAAGAGGCATTAAAAGAGGACTGAACAAAATCTTGTCGGGGTTTCTTGTCAATTCACGTTATTCAGAATCTGTTTAATTTGGGCTAAACTATTTCGGATCTTAAAAATCTTTTAGAATGCAACAAGAAAACTCATTTTGTTTATGTACTGAAAAAGATTCGCTCACCAAAGATTCTAATGGAACTGCCTAATTATAGGACATTTGGTCGAATATCGGGTAAATGATTCTACTGCTACTAGTTCAGAAACATGTGGTTGTTCTTAGAAATTTTTTATAACGTTAACCACTTCATTTCACTCAGATACAATTTGTGTTTCGTTAAACGTGAATGATTGTTAACTTTATTCATTTTAGTTATTACTTACTTTCCTACTTGTTATGTATTCCTTTTGATTTTAGGTGGATTTTTATTAGTCACTTTATGGTATGAATAGTTCTGTGTCATCAGATATATCAGATCAACATGGTGAAGAAATACTCAATTCTGGTGAAAATAAGTTAGATTGGCGTTTGAAAGCCTGTGAATTATTGGAGCAACATATTGAGGAAATAAAGTTGAATAATACCAACTTAGTACTTGAATCGTGTGTACTAGCATCGTGTTTAAGAGATCTTCTGGTGGAGGTTGAATCACTTAAAACATCTTCCGTTGTTAATTCACTTGATGATGAGAAAATCGTGGAATATTTGTTACACTATCAATCTGTTATCTCATTTGATGAATTAGTTGATAGTAATTTATTGTCTTTTACAGAAGCTAAATATTCAACTAAAGAGTCTAATAATTTGTCACATTGTACAAATTCAAAGAATCCTTCCTTAGGTATGCATGAAATTCGAGTAGTTCAAGATAATGTGAAACAAACGTGTGAAAATGTATCTAGTGTTTCAAATATTCATGCTAATGATAATCGACCATCTCTTTATAAGCGTTCTTCTGCCGGACATATAGATGAAGAAAATATTGATTGTGACGATCCTGAATTAATACGTTCTGCGTTTAGACTATTTGCAAAGCATATTGGTCCATCTTTAAAACGTGAACATCGTACAGCATTCAATGCTCCACCAACTCAAGATTGGTTAGCTGAGCAACTACTATCTAGATGGGATGAGTTAAGTGCATCTGAAAAGTTCACATGGCGCAAACGTGTTAAATCCACCTAATTATTTGTATATATCAAGGTGTTGTCGAATGATGACTATTTCTGTAGTAAACTAATTTGTATAGTAAAATGAAACTATATTATGTATATATTCTGAATAACTTTATTTTGATATGTTTTTTCAGATAATAAAATTATTCTATTAATCTGTATCTCTTTACACTTAAGCTGTGAATGTTTGCCTCTTGTCAGTTATGCTGTTGGAATATCAAGAAATTTTTCCATTTTATACATTTCTACAGAGCAATAAGGCGGAGTTTATGTGAAAAATATGATGTATTTGCGCTATACATTTCGAATAATCTAGTCATACGTGTATTTGTCAAGACATTTTATATGAAAATTGATATAGGTCAATTAAATGAAGATTCAGCAAACGAAGTGATAATTGTCCGATTATTCCTCCCTATGTATTTGTGTCCACACAAACATGACGAGATCATACATTTCATACCTAGACATATGTGGAGTCATTGGCTTAGTACTTCCAATCACAACCAGTTTAGGAGTTTAATATCGTTTGCTCAATCGGTATTTCTGGTCTCTGTCTTAAAATCATACTGCTTGATCCACTACTATGTGGTAGAGAGAAATAAACAGTTTTCTTCGGAACATAATTAAAGAGAGGTTTTAGTGTTGACTGAATTTCGCATCCATTTACAGACATTAGTGGATAACCGTTTGACATCAGTGTGTCAGGTTGCAGTTTTGCATCTTCTTCAAATGTATCTGTAGTGCATATTCTTTGAGTCTTGTTGAAAAGGCACTTTATCAAGCCATAATTGTGTTGCGATGGACAGAAAAGGAAAATTTGGATGTTGCTCAGTTCAGGTTGGCTTCCTACAAACTGACCAATACTGTATCCAAAAAATGGTAATCGATTATTACTTTCTTCATTGGTCATTACGATATCATTCCGTACGCTATTGAGTTTATGCAATAACTAAGCAGCAACCAAGTCTTTACCACATATGACTAAATATCATCCATGTATCTCCTATACAAAGTTACTTCGTGGATGAGCTCACTCGTCATACTTTCAACATATGACATACATATATCAGCTAAGGGAGGTCTTAAAGATCTACCCATAGCAACACCATCAACTTGTCGAAAATTTTCGCTTTCAAATGTGAATTGAAATTTTGCGGTACACAATAAAATTAGTTCTTTCAACAGTGTTGAGTGAATAAGAAAAAGGTGTAAATTACTCGATGTATGGTCACGAAGAAAACCAACAGTCTTGGCTAAAGTTACATTTGTAAAAAGAGAGTTTACATCAAAAGAATGCACAGTCTTTTCTTTAATATTAGTGTCACCAAGAAGACCAGTTATTTCAAATATGTCTTCCAAGGAACCTTTATTTAATTGACTTTTATTAATTTTCATATAAAATGCCTTGGGAGGTATATGTGACCAGATTGTTTGAAATGTATAGCGCAAATACATCATATTTGTCCCATCAACTCCGTCTTCTCATAATTCTATTGAAATACTTTACAATGCCTGGATGTGCTACATGATCTTTGTTTTTGAAATGAAGCAACCGTTTTTGGATCTAAACGTTCCTGTCACTTAAATTTTTTGTAACAGTAAATGAATTTGTTAACATTGGTTGTTGGATTGGAATGAAAAAAAACAAAGTTGATCAACTAGCTAAAATAGAATAAAATGTGTCACAATACTGCTTTGAAACATACGCTTTTTGTAACATTGTTGTTCATGCTTTAAAAACTGATGAAATACTTATATATGTCTCACATTTCCAATTTCGATTATCAACTCCTATGCCATAAATTTACTGAACAATGGAGTTTGTTATATATTACAGAATAATGCTCGCTGAGCAATATATATCTACTCTAGATATATTCAGTGCTTTACGTTCTGTATTGTTTGATTTCTCACTGTGCAAAATTATCTTTTGAAGATGGTTGGCAACTTCTCCTATTCTCATGTAGCTGTTTGCCAAGATAGTTCCTCATTAATATATCTTACAGCTGTGTGAAAGGTGTTTAGTCTAATTGTTTATTCTGTTCTATTTTAACAACATAATTCTTCTTAGCTAGATGACTTTCATATGAAGCTAATAATCACTTTAAGCGTAAGAACCAATTATACACTGAATAGTTTCGGAAAGATTATTGTTTCAGTAACGGTAGAATATGTACTGGATTATTAATTATGTTTAACACAATATTATTCAATGTGATGCCTATTAAACCTACTGCGTATTTGTTGTGTTTTACGAGAGAATGGTAAGCTCCTGATTTCAAAGTCAATGTGATGCATATATATGTCTTCAAGTTACTGATTCATTTGAGTTCCTATCCATATTGCACTTCCATATTTACCTGATGGTTGAAAACGGTATTATTTGTTAACTCTTTTAATCTTTTTTAATATAAAACACACTAGCACAAAATTTATAGGAAACTGAATATAAACGATCTGCAACAACCTGTTGACTGGTTTGTGGGTTTTAAGCTTCTTGATGCCAGTCAGCATTAAGTTTGATTGATAGACATATTTCGGCCACTATTGTGAACTAAGTAGTATGATATTAGGTAATCTAATGACAGATTGAGCTTTAAACATTAAGTTTCACCTCCTTTATTTTTAGGTTATTTTGTTTTCTAGAAAACTTTCAAAGTGTTAACTTCTTTCTGAAAAAAAGGCAGTTTAATTTAATTCTCTATAATTTTCTTCCCTATACCTTGAATTGATTACCTTAGGTTATGTTTTATTTATAAAAATTTTTAGATTGCGGCTACATGTGTGATAATACTTCATATGATAGAACGATTTTTTTGGTAGTTATTTAGTTGTTTGAATGCACCACAATGACTGCTATATTCATTGTAAATTCCTAGGCATTGTAACATTAACTCAGAAAACGTAAATATATGTCCTAAATACTCAGATCATTTAAATTGATGGGATACAAAGAAAACAGAAAATTGTGTAGTATTTGTTATTCGAACCATAGTTTCTTTTTTAGTAGATATGTATTAAAGGCTAAAAAGCATAAATATTACATATAAAAAGGAAACTTAGAATGCTTGTGTTAAATACTCTATAAATGCTAAGGCGCCTTTATCTTTACGAGCATAAACGACAGGAAGACCACTTAGTCGTTGCTACTACTCAAAGCAGTTGACGCTAATCTAAAGATTTATCTTTTAGGTAGCGTTCTTTTTACAATAAAGACGTGACAATAGATTTGTTTAACTATCGAACATTCAAATCCGTTTAACTATTACATAAAGTGATTTGCCCTCCATATTGTCTAACACTCCTGACATTAAATAGATTTAAACTGGTTGTTCTCTAAAATATGTTGACTGTGAAAGTTTCATTGTAAGAAATTCATGATATACATATCCCTCTATAAAAACACTCACTTTACTTGTGTAGTATATATTAATTTTTTTGAATTATTTAAATCGTATTGTATAACAATAGAGTTGGAAAAATGGTTGAACAAAATGATAATTATCTGAAACAATTGGGTATTAATATGAATAACTTAGAAAAAGAAATGGATTCAGCTATTGCTAAAGAATCTAGATATTGGCTTGAAAATGATGCAAAAATTAGAGCTGTTCAACAAGGAGTTCCAACATATGATGATTTTAGGTTAGTAACATAAAGTAGATTTTTATGTATGCATTGATAATATAACTTTTCCCTGACATTTCTTTCATTATTTGTCCGATTTGAATTACATTTTCTTTTCGCCATTAGTTTCACGATGCCTGATTGTTGTAAGTTTTTCTAGATATGGACACATCAGAATTTCTTTTTAGATTGTATTATTGCTATAGTTAACAGAATATTAAATAAATATATACCCATGTTGTGGTATTCAAATTGTCAATCAAATATCTATTTGAAAATGAAAATATTATTGCTCTGGCTGAATTATTTTTGACGAAATAAAGCCGTAACATTAAAAAATCTATTACGGATATGATACCGTATAGGTTATTGAATAACGGTTGATTATTGATTGAACACGAAATCAAACGTAAGCGATAAATGAAGATGAACTCTCTATCACGTTAATTGGAATACGAAATATTTTGTGAAAACAAATAATGCTTTACTGGTCATCAAAATTTATTAATATATATATTCACAATTGAATTCACGAGTCAATTTGAGCTAGACAACCATTGAAAGCCTGGAAACACTGAATAGTTATGTCACTGTATTTACTTATTCAGATGTATATGGGAATACACCCAAGAAGTAATAATTACGTTGCGTATTTTTTTGTGTGTAAACACATACCTAAAATCCATCGGAAAACTTGAAACTCAGACTCGGTAATCTTTGATGGTGGACAAACTTGGTATGTAATAGAAGTGAGTAATGGTTTATTGAATCAATCTACTTTAGTCTTAAAAAATTTAATCCCACTATTTATCTAGAAATAGGTTCTTTCCCCCATCTAATGTCAAAGTATAATAAAAGAAGGCTAGTGACGATCAAATAAATATATGTCAGGCAGTGAAGTCACTAATTGTTAAACTGAGACCACGTCCAGTTGTTCAGGCTTCTTGATTTGTGTACTAGGGATAATCGTGATTAATTTTTCGGACCAGCTTTTTAAATACGAAGTTAAATTTCATCGTTCTTATAAATCGACTTTAAGGACGACAATAAAATTTTTGCATTTTTAGCACATATTTAAGAGAATTCCGGTAATGTTATTGAGAATTTTTTTAAACGATATGTACTGAACGAGAACATAAATGGGGACAGTTGCATGTGTTTGAATACAAAATTACAGAACATCTTAGTAAAATCTGAGAACCATACAGTATATAATTCACTTGCAAAATATCAGTCAGTCGTCTCAGACTTCATTGTTCTTTCGTTTCCACACCAATCACTCTCTATTCTCGTCCTCTTTTCTTTGATCTTCTAAACCCTCTGCCACCAGGCATTTCACTTACGATTGATGATACATACTACTTATATCTGTCGACATCGGTAGCACACACCACAGATGTACTTAAGCTTCAGTTGACTTCTGTTACAAAATGGACATACATACTAATTCTCATCTAAATCGCTCACCCTATTGGGATATGTATTATTTTTCGGATATCTTATCCATATCAATTTTTATACTGTAAAAGCTGGTTTTTTTAATCGTAGGTATATGTAATTCCTTTAAATTGTTCGCTGTTGTCTTTTTTGACTAATCAAAACTGGTATTCTGTAGATTACACCTTGTTTTTACGCTTTCTTACTACATTTTTAAATAGTTTCATCGTCTCTATGACAGACTTTACGAACCGTTGCAAACAGGATCGTGAATGAATGATTTCTCTGTTACTTTCATTGAACAAAATATATTATACTGCATAGACTTGTGTATTTTACTAGTTATTTGTTTACATAGGTAAAGGAACGATACAGAATTAAATGGTTTCATATTTTTGACCATTAGCTCCAGTTTAAATATCTACTGTAGTCTGATAGTGAGCCGCATAAAATAAACTGATTTTAGTTTGGAATACTTGTTCTTACTAGTTTATTGAAAGTAAAGGAGTTTACATTCCAACCAGTACAGTCAAACTCTGCATATATCTATTGTATTTTAATAGTCCTATCCCTTTTGCCAGCTCTCAAAATTGATTCAGTACTAAAAGATATTACAACACTTTTGCAAATAACAGCTGCAATGTAAATAGATCGCATAGAATAATCTAAGCACTTGAAAAAATTTGATTGGCTTATCTATCGACCGAAGCTGTCTCACTTTCTTTTCCTTAGAGAGCTTGTCGCTGGATGCCACTTGAAGCCTTTGGATCGATTAGAACTAACCAATACTGTTGGTCAAAAGTCCAGCTGGAACTATTCAGCAATATTATCAAGTAATAATAGCTTGTTTATGGAACCTGGAATGAATTCAGCTATCGTAAGTACTCACCTCTAGTTACTTCAAACACTATTAGGGTATTGATGGATATATATCTCTCAGGGATATGCTATTTATTTATAACGTAAAATATTTTGAAACAGTGAAATGTCAACAAATATTCTAAGCAGAATGAAGTGATAATACTGGCAGACCATTTCAAAATGAGAACGACGAACAACAAGATGTGGAAACCGTTACAATAAAACCAACGTTTTACAGATACACTGGAATCGAATATACCTGTAGCAGGTATTAATAAGAAGCGATCGCGACAGCAAATAACCTGGGTGTTATCGGCCAACGTGAATACTTAGGAATGTGTGATATCATATGTATGCTACCCAGGGTGCTCAAGGGTTATGAGAAGTGTTACTGAATTCGAATAAGTGGTATAAAGTAATATAGAAAGGAGAGTGGGTTAAAAAGGAAATAAGCATCAAAAATTTAAATGAACTTAGCTATTGTTCTGTATTTTCAGTTGAAGAAAAAACTTATGAATGAATTCAACTTCATGAATGTTCTTGTCCTCCAGCTAAATATGTACTGTAACAGCAGAGTGTATAGGTAAATGTTGTCATTTATTTACTGAAATATGTGCGATTTCAATATAAATTCTTCACTATCCCCTATTCCAGTAAGTATTCTCTTCACTTAACACTGAAAGATCGTGGCACAAAAATAGGTTGAGCGATTGAGAGTGCCGCATGGTTCTAACAACCAGTTATGAAAAATGAATTTGTATAATTACTAAATATTGACTGATCCTAAAATAGTAATATAGGGGGTAGTTTTAAGTCCTATGCATAGTCAGTTTATCCTATTATTTTACTGATTTTAAGTGAAACACGTTTCTTTGTTTCTATTGCATGTATTATATATATATATATTATATATATATATATTAAATGCTATCAATATTTATGCAACTTTCATTTTATCAGAAACTACGGTTTGATACAAAATTTTTCCGGTAGTTCTGATACAATTTTTCGTACCGAAAAATGCATTTTATTAGCCTTTAAGTTTCTTCAGTTTTTACGTAATCCGCAAATAAACTGTTCTTATATGTATCATATTTTGGCTTTGTTGCAGGCTACAAAGTCCATTACCACTCCACAGGAATTCATTGTACAGTGGCGTCATATCAAATCATCTTCCACGTCAGACAGCATTAATACAAATGGTGCTTTATTGGAGTTATTGTTCAATCAAGATAATGAACTATTGGAAAATCTTTTTAACACTGGACTGGGTGTGTCGTTTTTACCTGAAATACTTTCAGTATTAAATCATTCTGTTGATAACACGGACACTATATTGTCATCATCTGATTGTAATATCAGCATCGTAATATCCAAGGTTTCTATGATTCTTGCAAGTTTTCAACGGTCTAAACAATTTTCTTTAGCAGTCGATTGTTTGCTAGATAGTGAAAAGGAAACTGCACATCACTTAGTTGAAAAAATCAAAGACATTGCAAACAAATATGAACTTTTTGAAGATGATGGTGAAACTTTGAAGAAAATTGCAGACACTTTTAAGCGGTGAAATAGATGACCCTAGGTCCTGTGTTTGAAAAAATCTGAAAGCTTCATTAAATATTTTGTTTTAGGTTTATTGTGATCGTAACTTGCATTCTGTTTATTCGGCACCTGTATCTTATTGTTTGTCTTTGTATTCTTTTCAAACATCACTTCCAAAATGTTCCTGACTTAGACAGAATCTCTACATGCGTTCAAATTCTTGAGTAAAAATACAATCTTCCTCTATGAAAATAAATTTCAGTCATTCTTCATCTCAATATTTCGATCAAAATTAATTTCGGTCCATGAGACCGCACTTGTTTATAAATTTATAAACATTTTTCCCCATGAAGTAAAGTTCTTAGTGTAAAGCATATTCCCTTCAGTAGTATGCTGAAAAATGTTCTTCATCACCTAACATTAATTATGTTTGACACCCCAAACAGTTCTGATGTAGAACAAAAATAACGATAAGATCCTGATGATTAATTATGTAGTAGCTGATGATAATTGCATTAGTTCGAAAAGGTAAATGTATTTAACTATGTCTCTCACATCTCTCCATCGACCGTGCAAACCAGTGAATATGTAGAATTATGGTCTACTATGATATTAGTACTGCTCTAATAATAGACCTAATCCTAAAATTGTAGATTTGTCATGATATAACTGCCTAATCTATAAGATCTTACCAGGAAGTCACTCCACGACTACACCAACTCACTGTATCGTATCAATTACCAATACATGATGTAGAACAAGGTTCGCCTAGACAAGGAACAATATATTTAATATGAATAGAAGATAAAAGGTAACATTCAGAGGGACCACGCCTGCATGGCCGAGCCATGCCATCCGAACAACTCCAATTCATTCAATTTCTTGTTCGCGCCTTCTCCATTGTTAGGTACTTCTTCGCGTTAAATATTGAATATATATTTTCCGAGTAGTCTCGTTTTCAGCTTTGAGGATTGTGTGTTTATGGTCCAATACCACTAAGAATAAATATCATGGGAACTCATAGGACGAAGGATCAAATTTAAGAGCCGTCCTTAACTATTAGCCTAACGATGACTCGACCAAATCACATTGCACGGCCCAAAGGCTCATTTAGACCCCTGATGTTAGACAGCCCGGTTAGAAAATAGTATGACTGAAAGCATCAATATAAGACTTAGAGGCCGCGAAAAACTATTAACTAAAGTAAGCTACGACAGCAGAAACATGTTTATAGTGCGACAACACAATATAATGCAACGCAGACTTCTCAAGAGAGAAGGAAAGCATTAAACTGAATATTACATATCATAACACACGGGTTTCCGTCTCCAGCGATAAAGCTATTCAAAGTGAGAAAACAAAAACATAACCAGAGGTATCTTGCAAAGATATCCAAAAACAAGTAGAGACAGCAGTGATGTCCACCAGTAGCTCAAAGCAAAAAATTAGGAAAAGTCAGTGGCTTTCAGCGGTGTCTACAGAACTGACAGGTACTCGGAAACTCATCTTGTCTGGCTCCGAACACGAAGGGGAGCGGAAGCAGTTTAAACGTGAGCCGACTAAGCGTACGTGATGATCGTGAGTAGCGAAAACAGAAGAGATAGGAGGCGGCGGCGATAGATAACTGTTCGGACTTTTCAAGAAAACGGATATTCAGAACCCTGTTGTTAGTGACTGTCTCGGAGAAAGACGGTACTATTATATACTCTCAATCCAGATTGCACCGATGTACAGCACACTTTCAAGGACACCTCAACTGGCCTTCAGACACATCTCAGTTACCCAATAACACCAAGCAACCTGGTGCGAGTCCTCCAACTCTTAGTGAAGTTGAAAAGGCTATGAGTGATCTAAGGCGAGGGAGAACAACAGGACCTGATGGATCAACTCGAAATTTTTAAGGACGGTGATCCAGTTCTAGCAGTTTAAGTAACCGGAGTATCAGCTAAAATCTGGGAACTGAACGCAATCCTATCTGACTGGCCTCGATCGCTGATCGTCTCAGTTCATAAGAAAAGAACAGAAATCAGTTCAATTAGTGTCTAAAATATTAGCCTCAGTAATGCTTGGACGTCTAACTAGAGTTCGTCGTGAGCGAACCAGGCTGGTTTCAGACCTAGACACGGATGTATGGACGAAATACTCACCCTTCAGTAGGTTCTGCAATATACTGGAGTTCCAAATAATTTAACAACAATGAAAATTTTTAGCTCTTAACGTACCAGGATTTTTAGGTTCACCGCCAAAAAGTGCCAGTGCAATGCCACGTTTAATATCTTCATGACCATACACACTTGGAGCTATGCTAGCAAAAATTCGATCACCAATCCTTTCATCACGTGAAAGTTTCAAGATCGCCCTTGTGTCCTCGTCAGTTAATGTCCCCACAGCGACCTGCATATATAAAACAAGACCGAAATCCACTCACCTTATCATCTTTACGAACAACGTTGTTTGCCAATATGACAGTTGCAAAGACTGGAAAACCGTGCTTAGTATTGAGTGATCCATCATAGCTATGTGTATATACCCCAGTTAACTCCTACAATTGGACTCATGATTGACTGAATTGAAATACGACTCACTATTTCATCCCCCGGTTTGCAGCTGTCAACCAGATCATCTAGAAGAATAGCGTCTTTGGACCTAGGAAGACGACCTGCTGGAACTTTGCCTGGGCTTTCTTGAAGAGTGATACGTTGATAATTTCTATAAACAGTCTGAAAAATAATTCAGAAATTAGATGTGGAAAGTCGTTATCATGAATGAAGCAGGCAAACACGTTACTAGAATACATTCGGTATTTATAGTAATGACTAAGCTATGTATATGTTAGCAGTATTTACCACTGTTTTTCTGTTTACCCCACAATTTCCTGGAGGATTGTTATTTGGTTTAGAATTTTGCGACAGAATGTTTAGAAAACTTAGGAAAAATCCCCTATTCAAATTTTCATCAAAAAAACATGTCTTAGTCGAGGTGTCTGACGGAAGTTTTGGACAAATCAAATCACCTACTCCCAATTAGTCACCAATAAATTTGTACAAAAATTATTACAAGATGCCTTCTGTCAACGAAATACGTCGTGACTGACAGATATAAGTGATCGGGACATGATACATTTTCGTTCAGATAAAAGTGCTAAGATTGTGACCATGGATCAAGAAAGTGATGCTCATTGTCTACTACATTCAGAGATGGAGGCACTTCCAATAAATCAACCGTTAAGAGATGGCATAAACGTTTATTTTGTGTCGTAAATATTTCTGTATGTCTTCGACATTAATGCTTACACCGTTTAACTTAGTGACGCAGCTTAACTGGAGACGCTAATTTAATAATTCGTTTCAGATCATGATAGTTTTAGGAGCGATTCGACTATCAAGCAGACCATGAACTACCCAGTGTATATGATCACTTAGAATATTGTCAGCGATTGGCGTCTGCCTTGTGTCTGTTGTCGTTTTTGTATAAAGACCACTTATCCCTTATACATATACATGTGATTTCAGCCGAATGATTGTTGAGAAGAATGCTTAGCATAGCGTTCAGGATCGTGGTCTGGTATGGATGCTCGACTTAACGTCTTTAGTAACGTTGTGTCAATTAGGATAAATAATGTCAGTATCAATGTCGAGGACTTACATAACCATTTATTTTGTGGATCTATTCGCCGCATCGGTAGATAATAACGAGAATCTCTGTTGAACATTATCTCATGTGCTTCTAAAAGTTTTCTTAATTCATTGTTCAACACGTCCATATAGACAAGAACACTTTGGAAGTCTTTAGGAGAACAGTAATCAAATAGTTCTGAGTACTGAGTTTCAAATTCAAATGAGTTGAACATGAAAACACCAGATGTATATCCCTCAAGATATAGAATGCTTAGGGGTCGCCATGTAATATTCTAGAATATCGCAAACGTCCTGATGTGTCTGTGAACCATTTCTACCAGACACAGAAGCTTGTTGAACGACAGCTGCTTTCATTCCGTCCAAAAACACTCACAACTATTTGTAAACTTGAGAGAAACCTACTATCTGTACTAAATTATGCACAAGGACTGATAATTTTTAGTTTGTCAATTCCCCATAATTCCGTATGTCGCGAGTTAGTGGTCTTCCTGAAAATGAATATCTTACATGCGACCAGTGAATCCACTCAAGTTCAATATCCAGTTGGATTTAAAGTAGTCGAAATAACCTGCAGGCGCCCAGTTCTCGACTTTTGAATTTTTGTAAATGTCGGTAAGTGCTTGAGATAAGTGCTTTGAAAGAAGTAGAACTCAGATTTATCAGGTCGCCATGGTGGTGGGCTTTCAGGTGCAGCAAGCCCGGATCTAGAGGAACCTGCTTTCGAGGATGAATCCGCCGCCATACTGGGTGATGACAATCTTGATGAAGAAGAGGAATCCGGAGAGAATTTATTCGGTGACGATATGGAGCGTGATTATCGGTAAATTTCTAATCTCTGTCCAATTACCTCAGTCCCATCCCGGAGCTTGACGTCTATGAGGCAGAAGGTCTTGCAGACCCCGATGAAGACCTAGAGGAATTATCACCGAATGCTCGCGCTGAAGCTGAACGTGAAATGAGACGACGGGACCGTGAGCGTCTGCTTGCGACTGGCGGACTTAGACGTGATCTTATAGCCGGTAAGAGTATAAGTTATGCTAGCTATGTACTCAGATTTGTACGGTGAGGAGGAGGAGGAAGAAATAATTCCTGCGCGTCGCAGGCGTATTGCGGAGAGAGTAGCTGCAGGTGATGAAGGTGATTTAGAACCTGAAGGTGTGCTGGAAAGTATCGAAAACTTGGAGGATATGAAGGGAATGTCTGTCGTTGAATGGGTTCAGCAACCTGTCACTCGTCAAGAAATCAAAAACCGTTTTAAAGCATTTCTCAGAACGTTTTTGGACGAAAACGATCGGAACGTATATGCTGAGCGTATAGTACAAATGGCGAGAGAGAACAAACATAGTCTGCATATTGATTACCAACACCTGGCGTCGGCGGAGCAAGT